TTGAAGTAATGTAGATATACATATAAAAATGAAGATTATCTTATATATAGTGTTCTGACACTTGACATTTCTATACAATTTTCATCTATATTAAACAATTCTAAAAAATGACCGGTTCGGAGTTATAACTTTTCGGAAAAAAGACACCCACCCAAAAATATACAAATACTTTTAGCCCTGCTATGATTTTGATCGACTAAATTCCAACTGTGCTTAGAAATTTAAGGTTTATTAGTCATTGGTAAGAGATTTATTAAGAAATCGTTTGATGCAATGCATAAAAATAAATGATGCATTTGAGAAACCGTACGTTCATCTGTCAATAATACTATCACGTAAGAAAATAATTGTAATACAGTCACGTAAAATAATATCTTCTAACAAGGTAATTGTATAATTTTAATTTTAATTCACTAGAAGTTCGTATTAATAACAACTATCCTACCTAATTACTATCGCCTACTTACATTTTAAAATAATACGGCACTAAATATTTCTCAACGGTGGAGCATTGATAAAATCACGAGAGGCTACCCACGTGATTTAAGCGATTTAAATCACTGTTCCAGAGCTTTAAATCACAATTAAATCATTAAATCATCTTTAAATCACAGTGAAAAAAAAATTTTTGTTAAACATAATTATGTGTCACAGAAACCCTAAATGTTCGTAATTTGAAAGATAAATCCAACCACAGTCCGTAATTCAAAGATAATCAATAATGATTAGGAATGAATGTACGCAGAGCACACAGTCATGTTAGCATGCGANTTATAATCATTTACTACGAACTGTTTGTGTATACAAAAAGACGAGAAAAGCTGTAATGTCCGTAAAAAAAATTTTTTCATTTTTCAAACTGTTAGTTAAATTTTCATTCTACCTTGGGACCACGCTTATTCGGTAGAAAAGTATCAATAAAAAATAAAAAAAAGAATTCTGTATGAGGCACACATTTTTTTCGATATAAGTGTTTTATTGAACTACAAAACTTGTCATTATTGGCTCAGCAGCAAGCTCCAAGGCGAGCTCGGCCGAGCTCAGCGCTAGAAATTTTTAAATTAGCTTAGGAACGCGCTGCGTTACCCCCTCCTTTCCGACTGCTGTGGCTCGAGTCATAGCTTCCTTTATACTTCCTTCTTCTTTCACCCTTTTAGTGTTCGTGACCGAGTCGTGACGAGGCCAGGTAGCGTGGTGAGGACTAGCCGGCTCAAGCCGGTGACTCTTCTCCTCAATCGCTGTCTGTTTTACATGAATTCGTTTGTTGCTGTTTATCTCGAGACTTTGCGTTGATTGGAGTATAACGGCACACGCTGTTTTATGCAATATTTTGCGCTCGTTCGATTAGTGAAAAATAATTTTCGGTCAAGCGTTATTGTTTACGCGATGTAAGCTGTTGTCGAAAAAATTTTGCGAGATAACGTCACTTCCGCCTCGACTTTTACAATGTTTTAGTCTCGGTTTTAGTCATCATAGATATTTTTAACGAATCAAAATATTCACCCTGAGAGCCTTGTACGTAGCTTAAAAATTTTTATTTCTGGTTTGCAGGTCAAGACTTAGACAATATACACAGTAACTCATTTTTCTATGTAACTTTAATAACGTACGCTTTTTCTATGTGCTGATGTTACAGAAGTGGGAGTGTATGTTTTCTAATATTAATTTAAAAATAAAGAAGCTTAGAATTTGTTATGTGAATTTGTTTTATCCGTATAATTCAGGTCTACAATATGGATTCCGATGACATCAAGAGACAGTCCATTAGCCAAGCGCTCTGGGAATATTTCGAAAAAAAAATGTGGATATATTCCCATGGCAATTTTGAAAAGAGCACTTGAAGATAAGTATAGAGCCAATCAATTAGCCATTAGAAAAGTTACGAAACAGATGTTAGAGAAAGACGGATATATCATCACATATATAAGAACAGAGCTGGTACAGAGTTTGAGTCACGAGGAGATTGTGCGATACTATGGACCAAAATACTGTCGGAACCCAGCTGATTTTACTTTTGAAGATGGCGAGCTAGATGCCCTTGAACTCGCGATTCAGAAAATGATCAACGAAAAAAAATTTTTTTCCGAATATACGTAGCGTAATGGTTGATAATATTTCCAAAGAAGCACTGAGGCATCATAAATTATTGAATCGTCGTAAGAAAAAAATTACCGCTAGTACCACCGACAATGTTAACGAAAGCACGGATTCGAGTAAATTATCTAATGGGACAATTATGGACAACATTCAAGAAAATTACAAGGAAGTCGAAGGAAAACTGAAGAACGCCATCAACACAATTAATACAGCGCAGGGTAAGGACGAAAATCAACTGTCAAATATGTCGTAGGTTCTGTTAAAATAAATTAATATACACTGCTATACAATGTACCTCAAAAATCAATGGTAAGTCATGATTGTTTCTAACGTTAGGAGTTTTCGAGACACGTACTAAGTGAGAAATTTTATTCATTATTTCATAGAATTGAACTTTAAAAAATGACAATTTTTTTTCCTTTTACAACACATGGCGAAATTTTTTTTTGTGATTTACATGGTTTCTCCTGGGATGTAAATGTGTTTCAATGCGATTTAAACGTGATTTACATTTTCAATCATGGCTTACTTTATATTTAATTTTTAGGAATCTCGCATATATAATGTAAGTACATTTTTTCAGACTTGATTTTGTAAACCAGATTACGCGCAGTAGTAGCTAGTGATGATTGGCTTAAACCTCACGCACCGTTACAGGGGTCTGAGCGGGGCATTTGATATCTCGCAAAAGTAAGCATTTTTTCGATTATCCCTATATAATAACCAAAAATAACAATAATGCGCATGCGCAGTTTAGGGATCATCCCGATCATCGACAAAAATGCTTACTTTGGCGAGATATCGAATGTTCCGATCAGACCCCCAGATGTAAAACATCCATCGATAATCGAATGTCAGCGCAGTAAGTTGTCGCATCGCTTTCGTAGAATTCTCAAACTTCCCACGGTGTTGACACCAATGATCGAGCCAATAGGTATGTTCGGGGACCAAGATTGGCGCACGCCGTCAAGTTTTCTGAGCCATCGCTGCCGTCAACCCGCGCTTGCCTGCGCTCGCCCGAACTCGACCAAAGAACGAGCGTTCTTTCGTCAAGTTCGGGTAACCTTCGTTAACTATCAGCTGTTCTGTGTTTACTATTAACTGAACCTTGTAAAGGTTAACTGAAGTTACAGTAAAGTATGGAAGCAATGGAACTAGACGATTGTTTGATATTTTTGTCTTCTAGTTCATCTGATGATGACAGTATAAGTTCTGTGTCATCACTTGATCTTGATGAATTCGACGACCTTTTCGAACATGATCAGTATGAAGCGGCCGAAGGAAAAAAAGAAAGGACTTGTATTACTAATTTTGAATTAACTATAGACAGTTTTAGTGATTCAGAATTTACAAGTCATTTAAGACTTCCTCGAGATGTTGTAAATCAGCTAATTCAATGGTATGTTGATTCTGATTACTGCAAACCTTTAAAAAGTGGTAATTACTATCTCTATTAAATTTAAAAATCAAAGTCTTATAACACATTTAGATATATATATGTATATACAAAAGGCATTAAAATAATTTCTAGAAAATGTCAAGCATACATCACCCCAAAAAAAATGTACTGCTATCTATGGTTCGTTGGTCATCAAGTTGCAACATATAGGGAGGTGACCAACTTGTTTGATCTGTCAAAGAGCAATTTATTTGACATAATATCTAACATGTCAGATTTCATTGGAAGTCTAGCTCCAATGTTTATTACATGGCCTAACGAAGAAGAATCTTTGGCCACTAAACAAGTTAAAAGCCTAACACCTATCGAAAACTCAGCAATTTCTTTTTATACTTTTTACCAACAAATTAATAAAAATTGCTAAAAGAAATGCATTGTTGGTGTATTATGTTGTATTAAATTTGTCCGGTAAATAATAAGCATATGTTTCATAAGAGATGCAATTTTGGTAAAATAATAAGCTAACAGTTGAGTTAAATTTCTCGAACGAGCGACACGAATGAGTCGCAGATGTCGTTGCTTTCACGCGTGTTAAACCGCAACTGTACACCAAATCACTCGCGGGCAATAAAACGGACACTTGTCATAACTGCAATAAAAAGACCAAAGTGGCATGAATATATCATTAAATAACGCCGATAAATGTTTCATGGACGAAAAGCGTACTAGCGTTAATGTTCCAAACTATCAAGCATCACCGCCTCATGGGTACCCCATGCTTTTACGACCCCGCAATGTCTCGCACTTGTGTGCCTATACGGACGATGTCACAGGTGTATACCAGTCGTCTGCCGTGGCACACGGGAAATTTTACACTTCCTCGATGCAAGCCGTTCGAGAATGACACTGTGGGGTTCCCATTATCGGCTACGTTTTGTTTGCCCGATGCTTTTAGCGCTGCTGGTTTGGCGCCTCTCTCTGTTTT